TATGGGAAACTTGTTGGAGCGCCAGCTGGGCACAATCGCATGGATCGATCCTTCTTTTGAAGCTGGGAGAGTCCATAGCAAGTATCGCGAAGTTCCTAGGTTTGTACCGGGTTCCTGAAACGTAAACACAGACCGGAAGATACTAACAAAGTACCATTCAGCAACACCAAGGTTTCATTATTCCAAGCATACGCAAAAGCCACTCAGCCTTTTCAGAAAGTGATCGATAACACCAAATCACCTAATGCATTCACCAAACTGGCCAAGCTCGACCAAGAATCGACCTGCACCCTTGGTTTCGCAGCGGATGTGGTTCGTGACCTGACGGCCGGTCTACTGAAGATGGAGCAAGTATATGCATGCCACGGCTCTGTCAAAGCGGCCAACCTGAACGAAACGGTTAGTAATTTTATTGCACATCTACTTCTCTATAATTAAGAGACTAATAATGACACAATCCAGACCTCCAACTGGACCATTTCCATCAAACAGAATTCATCCGAGCATCTTGAGACCATAGAGACTACCCGCCTGATCCTCTGCACAGGCTCCTTCCCCACAACAGCCCCAATTCCCGTCCCGGGACTGGACATCCAGCGCTTGGACCTCGACCTAGTCCTCAAGCCCAGCGAGCTAGCAAATACACTCCCCTCAGACAGACCTATATCCATCGCCATCGTCGGCGCATCCCACAGCGCCATCCTCGCCATCCTGAACCTCACCAAGCTCGCCCAGACCTCTCACCCTCTGTTGCGCATTAGCTGGTTCACCCGTCACGCCCTCCGCTACGCAGAGTACAAGGACGGCTGGATCCTGCGCGACAACACCGGTCTCAAGGGTCTGGCCGCGGACTTTGCTCGCTCCGAGCTTGAAGACGACAAACTTCCCACTTCGAGCGCTGGCCAAGTCCTAGCCAAGATCGACTGCGCTGGTGGCCCGGAGATTGAGTCTGCCCAGTACCATAAGTACTTGCCGACGTGTGACTATCTTGTTCAGGCCGTTGGGTATACCCGTACCTCGCTCCCTGCTCTCTCGAAGAATGGCGCGCCTCTTCTTATGAGCTTCGATCATGATACTGGCATGTTCCACGAGCCTGGTCGTTCGTCTGATATCCCCGGGCTGTTTGGTGCTGGTATTGCGTTCCCTGAGCGGGTCGTGGACCCGCACGGTAATGAGGAGTACGCGGTCGGGTTCTGGAAGTTCATGAAGTTCCTTAAGCGGGTTGTTCCGTCGTGGATTGCGTGATCGTTTTTGTCTTTCGCTTTGATCTTGTGGATTTTATGCTTGTCATTCCTACAGGACACTGACCACGGTGCCCGTGCATTGTCTAGCGGGTCTATGATTCCAACGTTTGATACCGATTTCTGTGGAGTAACTGGCGTTCTGGGCGGCTTCGGGACCTTACTATATAATTTTATAGCTGCTCTGCGGGTTACAATTAAGAAGAGCATCGTTCTCTTCCCATTCAAAATAATCACATCCACAAAATGCCCTAGCCATTCATCACTAATTAGCGCTACCACAGTCCATGCACTTCGGGAAGTACAAGCAATTCTGGGTCTATGAGTTCGAATTGGACATCCTCGTATCTAGACTTCTAGACCCGAAGTGTATTGGAGGCAACGGATAGCCAGTAAGTGGGCAACTCATATAGTTTTGGTTGTCCACACTATGGAGGTCTAAGGTTGGTACTCTACGGTTTGTTGATATAATAGAGCAACTTTCGTATCGGATTGTTCGTCATTCAGTAAGTATATCCAGCCGTTGCCCAACGCCACATACCATCCCATAACCCGGTCATATCACATGAAATACCATAAACATCAATTCTTCCTCCCTCCACCTAGCAGCACAGTCTATGCATACTGTTTTCAACCAAGCTACAACATAGCAACCGCGACAATACCAGCCACAACAGCTCCAAGACCACCAGTCCTCAAAGCCGCAGCACCATTATCAGAAGTCTGCACCGGGAACGCCTCATCGCTCCCGGTAGCCGTGGCACGGTACTCACTCTGACTAGCAACAGCCTTTTGGTCATACCCAGTCGCGGTAACGGTATAAGTAGCGGAAGCCTGCGACCAAGTGAGCACAGTACCGCTCGGAGGCGCGGAAACCGTACCGCCAACTTCGTACAGGGTCGAGGTGCCGTTATTAGGGAAATCGCCCGGCTTGTAGAACTTGTCTGTATCAGTGAAACCAAGGTCCTTGCAGTTCGTGTCCTGGAGAGTCGCGTCGCAAGACGACCACGCCCAGTTCGGCAGGGAGGTGTATAGGTTTGGTAGATCGGAGGGGAAGAAGACACCCCACATATCTGCGCCGGCGAGGGTGGGTTCGGTGTGTGGGCAGATATCCCAGGATCTGTGGTTTGGGGTTAGTTGGGGTTTTGGAAGGAAGGTACGCTGGTCGCAGGTGGTGTGCTTCACTTACGCGGAGATACTAGCGCTGGCTCCGCAGCAGGCACAGTCCGAGGCGCGGTTGGCGATGTCTAGACCGTCGTTTAGTTTAGACAGGTCTGGGATGTTGCCGATGTCTGCGGTGAGTTTGTCGGTGACGGCGCGCATGCATTTGACTTGCTGGTCTCGCGATGTGAGGGTCGTTTGCGTGACCTTGCCTAGATCGCAGGAGCAGCGGTTTGGCGCGTTGTCTGGTGGGGGCCAGAAGGGGATTGGCTCTTGGGCGCTGGGGCAGATGGCGAAGTACTGCTGCACGAAGAGTTGGTACTTGCAGGAGTAGACCTGGAGAAGATATTATTAGTATGGGTTTATGATAGTCATAAACGGGGTTCATTGGTATCGAAGGGTATATAAAAGCCATACCTGGTTCCAGCATGACTCCGCCATGCAGTTGATATACTTCTGGTGGGACTCGCAGCCACAGTTCACGACACAGTTACCATTGCCGTTGCAGTTTCGGACGCAGGAGCTCCACTTGTCCGCAACATCCCTGTTGCACCTTGAGTACTCGGATGAGGAGGCACAGTCGTTATCGGTGATGTTTGTCTGGGCATTGGCCAGGCCAGAGAGAGCCGCGACGGTCGCAGCCGACGCAAAAAGGAATTTGGATAACATAGTGTATCCTGTTCTGGTTGGAGAACTTAATGAAAATGTGTATATATCTGAAAAAGAACTGCTCTGGTTCGGGTTGAGCTTTCAATGGCACTACTGAGCAAGCAAGAACCCCAATCCCTTGGAAGGATGCAGCAGCACCTTTATAAGAAGCAAATTATGCAGCACAGCCGGATTCGACCGAAACGAAATCCCATTATGGATCTCGGATCCCGGGCCCATCAATGGGCCCTGCTGCAAGCTAGGGGTTCGATCATTGCAAACCCAGCTGTCATGTCATCGTTCACAGCAACGAACCAATAACCAATGTCATAGGGTAGCAACGTGACACGAAAGAAGAAGCTGAGCCATTCATCCATTCATATTTCAAAGGAAAGTGGATGATGACCACCCCAGTTTCTGCATGTCTGCTGCATCTATTGCATATAGGCAATCACATTTCCTTCGAAGGGTATGGTCGATTGATAGATCAGAGACTAGATCCAGAATCTGCCCTATGAAGTAACTGGATAGACCAAATGTCTCGGGATCTCCAGCAAAAGTCCTGCATAGTGGTAAGAGCCTTGCTTCCTCTGCAGACACGAGGTGGTGTGGACTGTTCCTGTATATTTGTGAAGACCCTTGCTTAGAGCCGAGCTTTCGATGACGATAGGGCGCTATTATTAAGGCTGGACATGAGCGATATAGTTCTTTTGCTTGGGGTTCCCATGTTCATGCGGTGTGTCGAGAGACATGCATTGAATTGAGGTTTCTTTTATGCCAGGGTTGGGGGTTTCCATAGCGCTGGTGCCTAGCATAGCCCGAACGCTTTGGAAACTTTTAGGGCAACCTTAGAGAATACCCTCGAAATCTTCGAAACACATGATGTGGTAGTCCAGATGGCAATGACATCGTTCACGGAAACCTGAAACGTCGAGTTCAGCAGATTGAGATTTCATCGCAGAGGGGACCTGGTACCTGGTGCATGTGGGTGTGATCACGAGTTAGGCACAGGGCCAAGTCGGACAAAGGAGTTGGTCGAGACGACTGTGATGACTGTGTCTGAGTATATAGTTTTATGTAGCTAGGTACATATATATGTATGGTGTTCATGCTATGTAGTGCACCTTGCACGTACTATACGAACTTCGCCACGGAGATTGAACCGGGACTAATTAGGCAAAATTACAATACAATTCTTCTCAACTCACAGTTACTAGTCAAAACTAGTCAAAAATTACAACATTGTAGAAGCAAAATGTATCCCAAAGCAGTGCCCATGTGCTTGTCATCAAGTCCCCTCCAATCCAATCTTGTGGAGAAGAGAAAATCCCTACTCCCTCGGGAAATTTGCTTGACTCCACCAACGGTCGATCATTATTTATCTCCTTTCAGTGAGAGACCCCCTTACTGAGATGATACCTTGTTTAGTAAGAATAAGTAGCATTGAATTCAAGAAAGGGTACGGAGTAATAGGCCTAGACAACATAACTAGGTAGTCACTTGTACTTACAACGTAGGCAAAACATTTAACCGTATTTAACGCACTATCGAACACAAATATTTAGCGAGATTAGACTACAATTTAAAAAAGTGGACGCGGGACTATCCAAATTAAATATTTCCCCCACCGTCTGACATTAAATCAGATAACCTTGGAAAAAGAGAATACAACATACAAAATTATAGGAAAGTAGATTGTAGGGAGTATACAGTCATTAACGCTGGGGGATACATAAATAAGATAAGAATCAAATAATAAATCCACAATCCCGACCGTAGTCAAAAGGACGGGATGTTTTGTACAGCTGCATCCCAGAAAAAAAGGGAGACAATAACACAAATTAATTGGTTTCAAGATATAACCAATCGGAGAAGTGAAGAGAAAAGAATATGTATATATCAATAAAAACATGTCGAACAAGGTCTCGTTGACAAAATCTGTATGATAATTTACAGCATCAGAGCACCGGCAACGAGAGCCAGCATGCCACCGGAGACACGGTTGGCGATACCGGCGTTAGTGGTGGGCACGGCAGTCTGGGATGCGGAGGAGCTGGCGCTGGCGCTGGCGCTGGCCGAGGAGGAGGCAGCGCTGGAGCTCTCCGAGGTCTCGGTAGCGGAGGCGGAGGTGCTGGCGACAGTGCTGGAAGCGGTAGTCATGGTGGTGGCAGAGCTGGTGATGTCCGAAGAGCTCGAGGTCGACTTCTCCGAGGTAGTGGTGCTAGTGGCCGAGGTGGAAGACTCAGTGGAAGACTCGGTGGAAGTGGAGGCAGCGGTTGAGCTGGCGCTGGAAGACGAGACAGAGACGCTGGAGCCCTCGACGGTGAAACGGCCGATGTAGTTGTAGTTGTTGCTATCATCGTCCGAGACGATCCGGATGGTGTAGTCTGGCTGGGCGGCCAGGTTGGAGGGCACATCCCAGGTGTAGCTGCCATCGTTCGGAATGCTCGCTGGTGATGGTTAGTATCTTAACGGGGAATTATTCAGTCATTCTGATGTTATCACTCACAAGCAATGACAGTGCCGGAGTTACCGGTCATCACGGCTCCCCACTGCAGGATCAGGCTGACAGTGCCGCCGGTGGTAGGCTTCCATGTCAGGGGGGGTAGGTTCGCCGACCTTGAAGGTGTAACCTTCAGTGGGGATGCTGAAGGGGTTGGCCATGTTGTTTGCCGAGGCGACGGCGGCCATGGCGGCGACAGCGAGGGACATAAAGAAGCGCATTATGACTGTATATATGTATATAAGGTTGAAAAGGTAACGATAGAATGTTCAAGTGATAGATATAGATAAAAGAGAGAAATCACAAAGGGCCTCAAAGGAGTGGAAGGCAGTGTAAAGAGGCGAATATGGAAGAAAAGGCCGAACGAGATACGGAGTAGTTTATAAAAGAGGGCATGTGCCCCATCATGGATAAGGAGCTAGGCATAGCCTTGAGTCAAAGGAAGGAAAAACAAATACAAAAAAAGGAAGCAAGGCAAGTGATTGGCCATTGTCTATCCCGGAGAGGATCCGCGAGGGTCCGAGAGAAAGAGAAGAGCGAGAAAAAGAGACAAAAAGAGACAAAAGAGAGCGTGGCGGTGATCCACGAGTCTTTGGACCACTAACGGGCATCTTTTTCTTCGCTTGGCAGGGAATCTCCTCCGTTGACTGGCTTGAACTCGACGTGACCTTAAATGACTCGATCCACTTTGGTCGGCTCTAGTTACTTCGGTCTTGCCTTGCTATTTTAGTAAAAACCCAACCTTCTACTGTCTTATTTTACAATATAGAGAATTTAGATGTCATTATTGGTTCAACAGATTGCATGTGGTTAAAAAGCAAGGATTCATGAAAGAATTCGAATTAGATGTAATGTAACCTATTTACTTCTTTTTTCCCTCATTTCAATTCTTTGTACTATCGGAGCCACGCGATTGAGCTTCGGTTATCCATCCAAGTTGAAAATCCAACCAAAGCCCCTACGCCTCCAAGCTATGACCTTTTTTTTCCTGCATGTTTCGTTCCTCCAGTTCTGACGCTAATTCATTGGGGTATCATGTGGGGCGTCAAACATATTGTTCTGACCTAGCCAGCAGATCACTTCCATTGCCCGGCGGTCGTCGTCTTGTTTCTGTCGGTCCAGCAACTAATCTGTGTCAGTACAATTTCAATAGGAGCCGCAAATCCAATAAATGGGGCACTCACAGCTTGATAAAGTCCCTTGCGTTTCGACTCCTTCTCCTTCTTTTCAGGCTTGGCCTTGGCCTTCGAGCTTCGTTCAGGGTCATTCTCATGCAGGAATTTACACTGGTCGCCGCGGTTACAGTGCCCATTACGTGCAAAATAACGACAGACCATCTTTTTGCCTTCGCGGGGTGGGGGCGGCACTCGCTCTGGTCCCGTGCGACGTGAAGTTGCCTGCTCTGGCGCGGAGTCGTCGCTGTCAGAGTCGGAGTCGGAATCTGAGCTAGAAGCACTCGAGGAGGTCCAATCGCTGGCCCCGGGGTCGGATGCGAGCTCCATGTCATCAACGTCATGGTCGGTGGGGTGCCCAGTCTTGATTGTGTGCTCGAGATTATCGGACTCGGCCACCCCTGGATCTCCCTGCAGTTCTGTCGCGTGGGAAGCGAGGACGGCTGATTGAGCGGGCTCCGCAATTGGGTCATGAGGCTCAGCTTTTATGGTTGCCTCTGGCAACGTAGTTTCGTGTTCAATCTTAGTGACTGGCTCCGGTACCATGTCTTCAGGTTCGGCTTTGAGGGCTGGCTCTGAGTCTTGCGCCGGGTCTGCAGGTTCAGTTTTGATAACTGGGGTGGGGACAGGTGTGATACCCGTACCTTCGTCTTGGGAAAGGTCTGCATTCAGGCTCAACGCCTCCTTCTGTAGGGCTTCCATTCGGAGACGAGCAGCTTCGGTCTCGGCCATGGCTTTTTGGATTCGTTTCTCTTCTCGTTCAAGGTTGCGACGAATCTTCTCTCTGCGCTGCGCATTTGTCGTTGCATCTGCAGAAGAATCTGTCTTGCTTTCGCTTTGCTTTCGCATGTGTTCTTTTCGCTTATCCTGCTGCTCCTTTTGCTTTTGTTGACGGGCTGCCTCGCGGGCTGCCTTTGCCTCCTCCATTGACTTCTTCTTTTCCTCAACCCGAGCTTGCGTGGGGAACTTCTTTTTCCGCTCTGCAATCCAAGCAGCAATATCGGTCGGTGTTTGCAACACTGACGTCTTTCCTTTGTATGAGACCTGAAGCGGTGCGGCGTCAGATCCACTTTGTGCCAGTTTCGATTCCTCGTCTTCATCGGCCTCTTCTTCGCTTGACTCGTGGTCCTCGGTATTAGGGGTCAGTCCAAGTTGGTTGTGCTTCCTTTTCCTCTTCTTTGCCTTTCTGTTGGCTGTAGAGTCTGCGACGGGTGGTGGCTTCAAGGGCAGAGGGTTGCCGAAGCTCGGAACGGCAGGCGCAGCGGGGGTCCGAGGTGCAGTTGATTGCGGTTTGTTGAATGCAGATGAGTGATCCCGCTTCTGGGCAGGCTTGGGTTTCGGACCCTGATTGCCATGCGCATGAGGAGGTCGTGGCCCTCGTGCTTGCCCCGGTTGAGCGCCCATGTATGGCGTCGCACCTTGCATATCATTACGCCATGAGATGGGGGGCATTATTGCTTGATTGTTTGGTGGATGGCCATGGGGAGGTGCTGGTAAGCCTTGCATGTATGCCGGAGTTGTGGGAGGGTAAGGTGTAGGAAGGTTAGGCGTATTGTAGTGTGAATAGTTCCCCGGAGCTATCGACTGGGGATATTGCTGAGATGGATAGGGGGGCGGGTTTTGAGGATTTTGATAGGCCGGCGTTTGTCCATGATGGTAGGGCTGGGGAGGCATATAAGGTGCTGTGGGAAGAGGTTGAGGATATCCACCATACGTTGGTTGCGCGTAGTTGAAACCTGTAGGGGGAAGATATGATGGCGTTCGTCCACTTTCTGCATGATTTCCTCCTCGGCCACGGTTGCCTTGTCCCCTTCCACGTCCCCTCTGACCTCCGCCATGTCCACCGCGTCCACCCCAATTCTGTCCATGCTGGGTCGGGTGGTGAGCCGGCGCCTGGTTAGTTGCCGGCGGCGGGGGCGGCGGAGGCGGGAAAGAAAACCCCTGGGAGCTCATGACAAGAGCCTTTTGTTTTGCCGGAGAATCCAGCACAAACAAAGGAATAATCTCGTAAGCTTAGCGTATTAGCGGAGTCGAGGTCAAGATTGAAAGCTTCCGTTCCGTGGTCACGTGCCAGCGGGATTCTAGGCGGAGCACGAATAATCTCAGTTTTGATTGCTTCAATGACAATTGTAAAGGAAAAGACATTTACACCTTCCAAGGTTTTCACTTTGTCACTTCCTAGTCAGACCAATCTCCTGGTTGTGCCTTCCCTACCGTCGCCATGTTTATCCTAGTGAGTTTGACGGTCATATATAAAAACTTTTTCTAACACTAGCAGACCACCATATCGGACTTGATTCAGATTTCGCCTGAGGATTTCTCAAAGTTCAGTGCAGTTGCACTTGAAGACAACATCAATGCCAAATATGCCAATAAAGTGCGCTATTCAAGCTTCTTCCTTCCAGTTTCTTAATGCTTATTTCGCCCAGGTCATTCAAAAAATCGGCCTTTGCATTAGCTTCTATGACCTACTTGAGTCTTCCGATGGTCTGATTGGCCATGGGACCGGGTTGGTGAATGTCAACGGTAGATTATGCCAGCACTTTCTCAAGTCTGAGATCTTTACTGACTATCACACAGTCAAATTCCGCATGATTGTTTTCCGACCCTTCAAAGGAGAGATCATGTTGGGAAAGATTTCCAGTGGCACAGAACATGGAATCAAAAGTGCGTTCCAAACACCAAAACGCAGTGCGCATCAAATGCTGACAAATTCCAGTTGGCCTTGAATTCTTCAACGACATTCTGATCCCGCCACAAATGCTTATGGAGAAGTCCCGATTGTGAGCTGATTCTCACCTCGTATCAAAGCTAAAATGCTAATGTGTGTTGCAGTGACTATGCCGAGCAGGTATGGATCTGGGAAAGTGAAGGTGGAACAGAATTCTTCTTCGATGTAGGAGAAGTTGTACGATTCCGAGTCGAATCAGAAGAGTGGCATGACCAAATTCCCAATGCCCCAGATGTTGCGGATGAAATCCCACAGGATAGACGCCCTCCATATTCCATTCTTGTTGGTCTTCTCCATATCCATTTTCTAGCTCTCACTGACCATCTTCTAGGGCTCGATGCAAATGGGTGGAACGGGACCCATCACTTGGTGGTAGGCTGCTGCTGCTACCATTTGATGTTCTATTAGACTGTCTTCTTGTTCGCCTATCGTGGCCCGTTCTCAGCGCCCATAAAATTTCTTTAGAGTCAGATCAGATACCCATACGAATAAATGCCAAGAATATATAAATACCTGAGTAACCATATGTAGTAAGCCTACCTAGTTAGCTAACAGTGTAAAGCTACAGGTCCCGGGGGTAAACACCCGGGCAAACTAGCTGATCTGTAAGCAAGCTTCCATATTCACCCATTTCCCTAAACTTAATGGAAATGATATATATAAGATATGACGTTCAAAGCAAAATGTATATATAGTACTCCATACGCCAATGAGATCTGCAATGCGGCAGGTGCCGAGGACTCCGGCTCTCCGAGTCATCGGAGAGTCCAAATGATTCTCCGAGCAGAATTGCCGGTCGCCGGTGGAGCTCCGCCGGTCTCTCGTCCAGTCGCAGCCGCGCGATCCATCGTCATCTGCGCCCCAGAGGTTGATTGTATGTAAAAGAATTCTCTGGATGAAATTTTTTTTTCTCGGTTGAATTTTCCAGCATAAAAACATCCGAAAGCAGACATTGGATTTGTTTTTCGCCATCGTTCTTGATTATCAATCAGATTCGCAATCCGAGTTTCATTCCGTTTTAAGAAAGTCAAGTCATACAAAGAAGCGGTGATCTCATCTTATCGATAAACATATAACCTACCCCTCGCCTCTCTCTCAATTGCTTTAAAATCATCTTCTCTATACACAATGGGCTCCACGGAAAACGGCACTACTAACCGCGGCTTTGGGACACTGGCTGTCCACGCCGGCTCCCCTCATGACCCGGTGACCGGCGCTGTCATTGCTCCGGTAAGCTTATCGATCTAGGGAGAAGACAAAGATAGACGGTATTAACAATGCCTTGACTAGATCTCTCTCTCTACCACATATGCTCAGACCAGTGTCGGAAACCCCGTTGGTCTGTACGAGTACACACGGAGCTCTAACCCCAACCGGTCAGTTTATTAGTCCCGAAGTCTGACACATCGATCAGGCGGACTAATACCCCTCGCAGTGATAACTTTGAGCAAGCCGTTGCAGCTCTCGAGCATGCCAAGTACGCTCTGGCCTTCTCCTCCGGCTCCGCCGCTACGGCCAACATTCTCCAGTCCCTTGCTGCTGGCTCCCACGTCGTTTCGGTCTCCGATGTTTACGGTGGTACCCACCGATACTTCACCAAGGTTGCTTCGGCGCATGGTGTCCACGTCACCTTCACCCCCTCCATTGAGTTGGATGTGGAGCAATTGATCCGCCCCGAGACCAAGCTCATCTGGATCGAGACCCCCTCCAACCCGACTCTTGGCTTGGTGGATATCCGGGCTGTTTCCAACATTGCCCACCAGCACGGCATTCAGGTCGTTGTCGATAACACTTTCATGAGCCCCTACGTCCAGAACCCATTGGACCACGGTGCCGATCTTGTTGTTCACTCCGTGACCAAGTACATTAATGGCCACTCCGTGAGTTCTTACTTCCAATCTAGACTTTGCCGGTATCAATTTCTAACTTGAAACTAGGATGTCCTGATGGGCGTGGCTGCCTTCAACTCCGAGGCCCTCAAGGAGCGCCTCGGCTTCCTCCAGAACGCCATCGGCGCTGTGCCCTCTGCATTCGACTGCTGGCTTGCTCATCGCGGTCTGAAGACCCTCCACCTGCGTGCCCGCGAGGCGACCAAGAACGCCACTGTCATCGCCAAGGCCCTTGAGTCTTCTCCCCACGTCATCTCCGTCAACTACCCCGGCATTGACTCCCCCCCCCCACCGCGCTATTGCCCTCAAGCAGCACCGTGATGGTATGGGTGGTGGTATGCTCAGCTTCCGTATTAAGGGTGGACAGCAGGCTGCTCACGATTTCTGCAAGTACACTAAGGTCTTCACCCTCGCCGAGAGTCTGGGAGGTGTTGAGAGTCTGTGCGAAGTGCCTTCCAGCATGACCCATGCTGGTATCCCCAAGGAACAGCGCGAGGCCGCCGGGGTCTTTGATGACCTTGTCCGCATGAGCTGTGGTATTGAGGACTCTGTGGATCTGCACGCTGATGTGATGCAGGCTCTCAGCTTGGCTGCTGTGGGCAAGAAGGCTTAAACGGAGCTCTTAATTTGCAGCTCATGTATTTGGCTTGCATTAAATATTAGAATAGACAGCATCGGTTTCTAATCACTTGGATATGACATTATGAGTTATAGAATTACCAAATCATATATTTACAATTATTGCAACTCGCCCTTAAACTTCAAAAATTACAATTCAATCCATCATCTCTTTAAGGTTGTATACTAATTAGGTATCCTGCCTGAGGCAGCTACGTATTCGCTTAGTCATTTTCCACCCACTGCAATTTTTTGTATGGAGATCAGATCGCAGCGTCTGTTGAAAGATAGCGTTGGAACTGAATTACTATTTAATCAACTGGTTCTTGCCCTTGAAGACACTATTTTTGCCAGAACTAGTTCAAGTTTGTCGGCAACCTGCAATATCCGACAGATTCTCATCATCTGCAACATCAGGGCCACTTCAGACAACCCACCTACACGATACTAGGTCTTGGAAGAGAAGAGAGCCGTCTTAAGTGAAAATGGCCTTCAGCTTCGGATTTTCCGGGGATGATATCGACATTGACGATTCGGAAATCAATAATGATTTCTCCGGTGTGCCCTCGCAGCAAACTGTGGGCAATTCTCTTCCTGAGCTCGTGAAACCCATTAAACATGATATGAATGAATGGGTAAGTGATAAAGCAAGATGTTTCGTTCTCAATTATGCGTGTTATGCTACTTCTTTTGTCATGGATGCTTTGGGTTGGCAAGTATATACTAAATCCCAATTGGGGCCTACGAGATACTGTCCTCTATCATTGACAAGAGCACGAAAGCATGAGTTCATTACTTTGAAGTGCATTATACCTTTCCAACAGAATCGAAACCTAATCAAGATCATAGCTTCCAATTCTTCCCTCTCAAATCTTCTACAATAAGCTCGCAGTCGGGGATTCGGCTCTGGCCGTCGCTCGACGAGAGATCTTTGACATCCGCACCCAGCTCATGGCCGAAGACAGCGCAGGCCACGATAATGAAAAGCTTATTGCCGGTATTGAGAAAGGCGACATCACGCCTAATTTCTATGAAGGCGGCTTCAAAACCTGGGAATGTGCGTTGGATCTAGCGAAGCTCTCCCTCAACGAGGACATTCTTAATGGATCCTCCGATAACCCGGCGGATATCCATATAATTGAGGTTCGTAATCATCCTTCTTGTGGAAGCTTTCCCAACATCTGCTTAGGGTTAAGAAGGCTAACATGAAACACCAGCTCGGCGCAGGCACAGCAGTCCCATCATTGACGCTGTTCGCCCGTCTCCTCAGCCAAGCCCAGCCCGGCCAGAGTCAAAGAAAGACACTCTTTACTTTTGCAGACTACAACTCTGACGTGCTTCGTCTTGTCACGCTCCCGAATCTCCTTCTGACATGGCACAATAGCCGCTCCCAAATGGCCGTTTCAGCTGGGTCAACTGCGCCAGATCAGGACGAAGAGCTGGATATCACGCCTGAGCTGGTTCAGGAGTTCAAAGATGATCTTGTTCAGCGTGGGATCTCGGTTGATTTCGTCTCGGGTGCTTGGTCGCCCGAGTTTGTGGATCTGGTCTTCTCGTCCGGTGATAGCGCTCGCAAGACTCTGGTTCTTGCTAGTGAGACTATTTACTCGCCCGCATCGTTGGCGGCGTTTTCTGAGACACTTTTGGCGCTGCTGCGCCGCTCGAACACTGCATCGGTGAAAAGTCGGGCTCTCGTCGCGGCGAAGAAGGTTTATTTCGGAGTTGGTGGCGGTGTTGATGAGTTCCTTGCCGTGTTGGGTACTGTCTGTGCTAATGAGCTGGACGTGCAGCAGAAATTGAATGTTCAATCTGAGGGTGTAGGCAGGGTAGTTCTGGAGGTTGTGCCGTCAACCGCGCCATAGAGCGAATTCGATAATAAAATGGATGTCAAACCTCAACATTCAACGAATATTCAGCGAGGATCTAGGGGTTAGGTTCAAAAACAAAAGAAAATCCGATTATCAGGTGCTGGATTGAACGTCAAGTCCCAACGTATATGTACATGATTTTTCCTCCACACATGTCTATTTCAGACAGCCGACCAAGAAAAAAGATACCCCCATTTACTCGTAGATCGACACAACCTTGCCGTCCTTCATCCGCGCAACCCGAGACTCCTCAATCTCCTGGTTCTTGCGCTGGTAGTGAGCCACAACATGGCTCAGGTCAGCCTGCGAACCGGGCGAAACGTTGTACGGAGAGCCGGCGTTCATCATACTAGACAAAGGAAAAAAACACAATTAGCAAAACAAGAAAGAAAAGCCTTTCCGGGGCAACAAGATCACATACTCGGGCTGTCGAAGGGCAAAAGCCTCGGGGGGACCCTGACTGCCGAGCAAGTGGCGGTCAGTAGCAGCCTTCTCCATGATAGCGGTGTGAATAGCATTGCGCTGCTCGAAGACCTCCTGGGAAGGAGTCCACTTGCTAATGAGGCCGGAGATCCAAGAGGGCTCGCCGGATTTCTCGTTGGACTGGGAGACGCGGTAGAGGAGGTAGGCGGAGGCGATGGAGCCGCAGGTGACGTAGAAGCTGCGCTGTTAAGTGGACATGGAAGGGTTAGCCAGGTGGTCGTGGGTCATTGAGGCATTTCTTGCTCTGCTTCCAGACTCGGGTCTGGTCGCGATGGGCGGGGAGAGGAGCTTACGCCGAAGCCTTCGTTCACGGGCTCGTGGGCGGCGTGAGATCCCCAGCGGCGCTGGGTGCGCAGCAGCTGCCGCGTCGAGGGAGCAGATCGTCTGGCAGCGAACATTGTGTGGAGGGAAGCAATTGGTGATGATCGATGACCCTTTGCGGAACGATGATAGGGCGAGGTGGAAAGCGAAAGTCGATGACACGTGATGTCCGTATTGGGTTTAGTGTCATTCTCTATTCTGCGTTGGACAAATGTCATCTCGATTTATTATTTACTACCTAGGTATATACGGAGTAGTTTATTGATTATTAGTTTATTAGTTTACTCTATCTTTTAATTATTACATCATTATTTGGAATCATACTTGAACTAAAATCTGGTATTTTTGTTCTCTCGTAAATCTTGATCTTAGAGGAGGACCAATGCATATTTAGTATCACATTGCACTCCTATCATTAATAGAGACAGTAGTACTGCATCTATACAATGTATCATGTACAGATAAAAATAAAATCCAAAATTAAACTGCAGCCCGAACTAGTTGGCATACGAAGTAGAAAATCATACAATCATATTATGTCCAATATGCTGCTATGCTGCTATGCTGCTATGTTCGAAACCTCATCTAGTAATCTAGTAATATCCCTGGATGTGTTGTCCGATGACAGCCTCACTATTTCCCAGGGTTAACCATGCCAATTGGGCGGGACAAGTCCTTCTGATATATCGCCTCGTTTTCAATTCCCACACATTAGTGTCTGCCTATCAATTGAACATGTCAGCTTGTCGGTGTCAAGTTCCCCCCCACTAATGCCTCGAATAGCCCGAACCCACAGTTTGATGCCCAATGTCATGGCGTCTCCCAACTGGTCTCGCTTCGGTTCAGAATGGAATCTGGGTGGATTCCGATCTTCTTTGTGCCCTCAATATTCCCGGTACTCGCGTCTAATTGATGGCCCTCTCGCACATTGGGGGGATGGGTATCAACACGCTAAGGGTCGGTCCGCTATTGTGCCCCGACAACGTTGGGATGCTAATTTTTTCGAGATATTTTTTTGGAATTCTTTGGTGTTCGTCTTTTCCTTTCCTTTTTTTATTTTCTTATGGTCTTACACCCAAAAATATCTACACTGTTTCGTGCATCTCATTCGCGCCCAGTCAAAGAGAGGTTTCAGGTCTCTGCCCGATCAACCGAAGTCACTTGGCTTAAGTTTCTAATTATTCCAAAGTCTTGATACTTCCCAAATTATAGTCAACTTTTGGGCTATCTCTTGAGGCTTCGCCACAGGGCTGGTTGCAAATGTACAGTGCAGTCATCCCATATGATCGGAACTATCGACTCATACTCCATTTAGTACATTGATCCTATTGGTAACACGTCTGTCCGGGGCAAGAAGTCTTGGGCACGCATCACTCTTCCGCAATGGCGGGCAGCAAGAAGGCTAAGGCCAAAGACAAGAATGGCAAGGCTGCCACCAAGAAGGTTAAGAAGGGGAAGAGCCCAGAGGTCACAGAGACTCAGACAACTACAACTACACCTGCTCCTGGCAGCCCTGAACTTACGGCGCAGGAACCAGAGCAAGTAAAAGAGCAAGAGCCTGCTGTTGACAATACAGACGTCGAAGTAAAGTCACCACTTCCTGTGTCAGCATACGAGGTATTCGACGAGGAGACTACACCTCAAGACAGCCCCAACCCTGTCGCAGACCAAGAAACACCTGTACTCGGCAATCCCGTATCAACGTACGAGGTATTTGACGACAACACTACACCTCAACACACCTCCGGCCCTGTCGCGGGTCTACAGTCGCCGGTACTCGACAAGCCCGTATCGGCATACCAGGTGTTCGACGACGAAACTGCACCCCAAGACATCCCCGACCCTGTCGTGGATCAATCATCACCTGTAGTCGACAAACCTGTTGACGAAGCATCACCCTTGGACGAGCCAAGCTCGACTCAGCCTCCCATCGAGGACACTGAGGTCAAGCAGCCGCCCGTGGACGAGCCAAGCTCGACTGAGCCTCCCATCGAGGACACTGAGGTCAAGCAACCCGTGGATGAGTTAAGCTCGACTGAGCCTCCCATCGAGGACACTGAGGTCAAGCAACCTGTGGACAAGTTAAGCTCGACTGAGCCTCCCATCGAGGTCACTGAGGCCAAGCAGCCGCCCGTGGACGAGCCAAGCTCAATTGAGCCTCCACTTGAGGACACTGGAATCAAAGAGCCGCCCGCAGAAGAAACAAGTTTTGTTCAGCCTCCCCTCGAGGACACTGAAGCAAAGGGGCCCTTGGAAGACCAGCCCAAGCAAGACCAGCCCAAGCAAGCCGAGCGCTCTGAAGAGACAACTGTAGTCTCATCGC